CCCCGAACTGTACAATCAGCTCTTCGTCAGGGCCTGTGAAGCAGAAAGGGGCCCCTATCTCCTGGGGATGGGTGAGGGGCACGACCTCTGCTGGAAGCCAGGGTCATTCAAAATGTCAGCTGATTCAGGACCTGGAGAGACCCCGTGCAGCCCCCTCCCCGATCCAAGCCTGGGGCAAGAACAAGGCCAGGTGTCCACTAGCCTGTGGACCCCTTCGCCTCTGCTGTGAGCTCTGGGCTGCTGCCTTCCCTCCTGAGGGCCCCACAACTGGGTGGGTGGCAGCAGTCCCTGCTCACCCATCTCCCCTTCTGAATTCAACCCCCTGGGCTGGGGAAAGTCCCCCAATGGAAGCACTGAATTGACCCTGGACAACTAAGGATTAAGGGACAAAGAGGGAGACTCGGGGATTTGGAATCTTGCTAACGGGGCACCCCAGACTGACATGGGGTGCAGGATGTCTTTGGTTTGGGGACCCAGGAAGGAGTCGGGGGAGATGCTGCTGACTTCCTGAAGACGTAGGACAGGATCCAAGGCAGCCCTAGGGGCAGCTTCTGGCCACACCCTCTCCCTGAATTACCCAATTGGGGGAGAGGGGCTCCCCCATTTGTACCTGCTCCTGGAAGGAGGCTGAAGTTGCATCAGCCCCATGGATCAGTAGGGATGCCCCATGCCCACAGGACCCAAGTGCAGATGGGAGGCCAAGTGACCCCTCTAGGCAGGCAAAGCCCTGAGCTCACCTACCCCCCCCCCACTGTCGCCCCACCCATGGAAGACCAAGAAGAACCCCCACCCACCGCCCCCAGGAAAACCAGGCCTGCCCCGGCGGTGGGGTGGGGTGGGGTGAGTTGAGGGGCTGCAGGAGGGAAGGAGGAAGGGAGTGTTCAGGATCCAGGGCTGCCCTGAGAAGGTGGGGGGAGGCCTCCTTCCTCCCCGACCCCCATACCTGGGAAGGAGAGCAGAGAACAGAGGGCTTTAAGGTCTCCTGAGTCAGAAAGAACAAGGGCCCGCAGGGAGGGAGGGGCAGGGGCATGGCGCACTTGCCTCACCACTGGCCTTGGGTGCAAGCAGTGTGTGGATGGGACCTGTCGCTCCTGCTGGGTAAGAAGGGGGATTGGGGGGGGGGGGAGTGCCAGGTGGGTTCTTTTGGACTGCGAATCATCCTGTGTTCACCTGGACAGGTTTCTACACACTAAGAACCCACACACACACATAGGTATAGACACATGCATTCATCATGAGAACAGGTGTGCCTCCCGGTGGGGAGGGGGTGGTGGGTCCTGGGCTGCTAGCAGAAGAGGGTGATCATGCTGGCTTGGGGTGGTGGGTCTCTGAGAGTGAGGTGGTACACCACCCCCACCCTTCTCTCTGACCTGAAGCCGGCCTCCACAGTTTGCAGTCCAGCTGGGCTGGGAAGTTCAAAATGAAGACCCATTGGGAAATGGGGCAAGGGGGTACTGGGGGTACCACCCAGTGAAGCTGCAGGAGAGGGTCTGGGCTCTCCGATGCTGTGTCCCTCCGGAAGCACAGTGACGCTGGAGGTGCCTGGGGAGGTGGCCTGTCCCCATCCTGCACTGGGGATGAGCTCCAGCTGGCCCTCTTGGTAAGCGTCCCTCCCCAAGAAAGGGGTTGGCGGTGGAGAGCGTGCTGGGGCTCCCCCTCCTCCCCCTTCTGCTGTGGTATTTGTTTAAATAAAATAATGACCCTGCCCTACCCCTACCCCACCCCTCTGCAGGCCCCCCACCCAAGTCAGAAAGGAACAGTGTCAGTGAAAACGATGGTTCAGAACTGCCCGCTGCAGTCCCGGTCTCGGAAGAAGCCTTCGGCCGCCTGGGCCTCTCGGAAGGTAACGGTGACGGAGTTGGCGGTGATGTCGGTCACGGTCACTGCACTTGGGGGCAGCGCAGGTGTCCAGGAAGGGGGCCCATCGGCCAGGTCTGCGTCTGCTGCAGGCATGGGAGACACACACACAGACAGACGGGGGCAGTATGGGCAAGGATGTGGAGGGGCTGCCAGTGGCCACATGTAGACTCGCCCCTCCTCCTGAGTTACAGATGCACAGGGTCCAGCCCAGCGGGGAACACGGGCGAGGGCAGAGCCCAGACCAGGGGAGCACCAGCAGAGGGTCTAGCCCCAGGGGAGCGTGGGAGAGAAGAACCAGGCTAGGCCAGCAGGAGCACACCGCACAGGGCATAGCCCAGCCCAGGCCAGGGTGGGCACTGAGGCAGACATCCGTCTGACACAAGGGCAGAGGGTCCAGGCGGGCACTGGGCCGGAGGGTAGGGCCAGTCCCTGGTGGGTTATAAGTTAGTTTATGCTCCTGGGAAGGAACCCTGGCAGAGTCGTGGTTAAGTGTAAGGCTGCTAACTGTACCGTCAAGAGTTCACAACCACCAGCCGCTCCTTGGGAGACGGTGGGGCTTTCTATGCCAGCCTGGGAAACTCACAGGGGCAGTTCTACCCTGCGCTAGAGGGTTGCTGCCGGTCAGCTTTGACTGGATGGCAGTGACTTCGGGTGGCTGGACCAGAGCCGAATGAGAGGCTGGGTGGTGGGGCTCTCTGGAGAAGGGTCGCCCACCGGGGGGTGGGGGAGGCTGTCAGCGGGGCGCCTTACCCTCCTCATCGGGGGGCCGCTCCACGGGCTCCCACTCGCCGGCCGCCTGCGGGCCGTCCGGGGCCGGGGCCTCCTGCAGGAAGAGCTCCCGTCCATGGCTGGGGCTCTCCAGGCTGGGCCCACGGGGCGGGAACTTCTTGCGTGAGAGCCGCAGGTACTTGTGGGCCTTGCGTGGTTTGCGGAGCGGGAAGGGCAGGGTGGGCACCAAGGGGCCCTTGTCCACCAGCTCGGGCGCCCCCGCCTTGACCACCCCCTCAGGGCTCCCGCTGCCGGGTGGGCGCGTCAGGGAGAAGCAGAGCTTCTCCCTGCCCTTGGCCTTGTGAGAGCTGCGCAGGTCCATGCCATACAGGCGCTGCGGAGGGCAAGCCAGGGCACGGCGTCAGCCCTGCCCTCCCCACTGCCGCGCAGGCTGTTCCCCCACCGCTGGGCCCTTCCTGCCAGCTGGCCAGCCAAGGGTTAGCGCCGTCATCGCCCACCACTCCCACCCCTGGGACGACCCAGCCTCAGGTCAGCTCCTGCCCATCACAGGTGCGGAGCATGCTCCCACGGTGCACAGCTGAGCAGCCCGCCCATGGTGCAGGTGAACCAACCACGAGGTAGGCGGCGGAAAACGAATGGAATCTGTCTGCACCTTAGCAAAGGAAGAGAGGATCCCAGAAGGGCCCAGAAGCCGACCCCACAGTTGGGGGGGGGGGGGCGGGGAGATCTAACCACAGGTGCCCACATGCCCCCAGAGAGAGGAGAGAGACTGAAGGCAGCCTGCGGGGCACACCTCAGGGGATGGGCACAAGGCCCCCCTGTCCTTCTACCTCTGCCCAAAGTGCTGGCTCTGGTCATGTGGGCATTTGTCTCACTGAGAGCATCTGTGGGCCAGGGAAGCTACCTGGTGCCAAGATGCTGGCCGGCCCTGGGACCCGCTGGCGCGGTAACTTTCCCTGCCACCTGTCCCCAGAGCTCTCAGGAAGGGCAGGAGGTCCCCTGAGCCCACTTTGTCCTCTGCCTCATTTGACGACAGTCACTGTTGGAACCCAGAAGTGGCATTGTCAGATCTGGGCTTTAACCCTGCCGTGTGGCCCTGTGCCTCAGCCTCCTCTTGAGGGAGCTGGTGACACCCCGGATGCCCCAGCAACACCTGCTCCTGGGCCCGCGCCCTCGTGCAGCCCGAAAGTTCTGAAGACAGGGGCTGGGGCATCCATCAACCTGCAGGAAGCTCGTGGCCCCCAGAGGGCCCGCATGGGAGTGAACCACCTTCGTGGCTGCTCTTCCAGCCTGGGCCTGACCTCCAGGTGGCAGCACCAACACAGAGCTGGAGCACACCCTCACCTGACAGGCAGGCATTAGGGGAAAGCCTCTGGGTGTTGCGGAGGTCAGGGGTCGGGAGGTAGTGGAGGGAGGGTGAATTTGTCCCGCCACAGTGCAACAGAAAACTGATGCGCCCGCCCCAAAGTCGGTGTGAGTGACAACTGTATGTGAAGAGCACAAACCACAGAGCCCGGTGCCTGGGTGTCCACTTTCCCTGCCAGCACCCCAATTCTCAGCAAACCCTGTGTGCACAGCGGCTGTGTAAAGGACACGTGTGATCTGCGTGGTCCAGAACGGACAGGCGGCTGGCCGGGGAGCTGCCGCCATGGAGCCCATGCCCACTCATGGCGACCCCACAGGGTTTTCTTGGCTACAATCTTTATAAAAACAGATGGGCAGGCCTTTTATCCGCGGCACCGGTGCGTCTGCACCGCCAGTCTCTGGCTCGGTAGTCAAGGGCCAACGGTCTGCAACACCCAAGGATGCTATACTGACTTTTATTCCTAGATGGACCTTACTCGATTCAGGAGAGCAGATATTGGAAGCACCCCCATTTTACAGGGGAGCCTTGGCTAGAGTCACCGAGTAACACTGCTCCAAACCCACTCGCTTTTCACTGCCACCAAATCCGCAGTGTCCCCCCAATCCTCAATGCCATGGGATGTCCCAAAGAGAGCCTGCCTGGCAGGGACTGGCACAGGTGACCAAGGAGGTACCTTCCTGCTGGAGGTATCTCCTGGCCAAGAATCCCAGAATCCTGCATCTCTGTGGCCTGGACTCTGAAATCCCAGTTTCCGGTGTTTCCTCAGCAGGAGCCCTAGTGGTGTTGTGGTTATGGGTTTGGCTGCTAATTGAAAGGTCAAGAGTTTAAAACCACCAGCTGCTCTGAGGGGGAAAGACGAGGCTTTCCACTCCCGTGGAGAGTTACAGTCTCAGAAACGCACAGGGGCAGCTCCCCCCTGTCCCAGAGGGCCCCTGGGAGTCAGCGCGGCTACATGGCAGTGTTTCCTTCGTTTTCAAGCACGTGGCTAAGGGTCAAGCTTCACAAGTTTTGTGGGTAGGGATTCTGAGCACCGAAAAGGCTTATTCGAGTTCTGTGCTTACAAGATGGTAGGATTCACTCATCAGGGGCCCTGCCTCCCACCACGACGATGTCTTCCTGGGTACTACTCCCACGTCCTGGCTTTCCCTGCCAGCCCCCCAGCCCCAGTGCCCGGCAGTGCTGGGGCACGTGCACCCGCCGGGCTAACTAGTGCAGAGCGGCAGGGATTGCAGAGGGTGAAGGGGGCGGAGTCCAGGAGTGGGCAGGGTTACCTGCAGCAGCAGCCGCTTGGGTTTCGGGCCTCTCTTCCTATACCCCGAGGCTCGGTCTTTCTCCTCCCTAGGGTGCAAAGCAGACGGCAGGAAAGAAAGGGAACACTGGTGACCATGAAGGGGCAGTAAAGTGCCCACTTCACCTCGCTCTCTGCTGTCTGTGGCGGAGGGGGCGCCCTATAGAGGCCATCCCCCATGATGGCAGGGAAGGTTCCTCCCCATTGCTCCCCTGAGGCCAGAGCAGTGGGGTCAGGGGCTCCCGGCTGAGGTAGGGAGGGGGACAGGGAAGCTGGAATGCCTGCCCTTCAGCCTCCTGGTTCCGCGGGTTCTGTGCTCCTCAGCGCTTTCTGAGCCCACCTTCAGAATAAATGTGGGGACCCTATCTGCTTACAAGGAGGGACCTCAGGTCAGCTCCCCATCTGAGCTCAGCGTCATCCCATGCTTCAGCCCCACCTATTTCCAACAGCCGCTTCCTGCAGCGTCACCCTCTCCAGGTGGGGATGGGTGCACCTGGAGGCCACTTGCTAAACAGGCACCAGGACAGGTGGCAGGCCACGGGGCCCTGCTGGGAGAGCCCTCCCAGAGGCTCCTCCACACAGCCTGGGGGTGGGATGGGGGTGGGGGGCTCTGGTCTCAGTTCTACCTTGACTCATGGGAGGTCCTGGCTAGTCAGATCCCCTCCCTGAGCCTCAGTTTCCCCACAGCCCAGCAGATCTTGTCGGCTGGGGTGTGGGGCTTCTGGGGTTCGTCAGAAATGGAGGTAGAAAGGCCCAAGCAATGGGGTGAGGGAGGAAGCGCCCAGAGGGAAAGGCAGGCGGGGGAGGGAAGGGAGGGAGGAGGGGCAGGGGACAGGTAACTGCAGGATGATGGTGTGTGTAGGGTGCACAGCGAGCACCTCTCCAATGCTTTCATCCTCACAGACCCGGGAGGGAGCTACTAGTACTCTCCCATTTTCCAGCTGTAGAAACCAAGGCACAGACAACAGGCACCACGGGAAGGTCTTCCTCCTCAGTGCCAGGCTCAGGCCTCTGGGCATCGGGACAAGCCTGGGGTCTCTGTCGTGGCCCCCAGGCACTGGCTTACCACTTGCAGCAGCACCCTCTCTCTGGCCCTGCATGTGCATGCCTGTGATGTGTACACATGCATGTGCATGCCTGTGATGTGTATACAAGCATGTGCACGCATGTCTGTGGTGTGTACATGGCTTTAAAGTCTGTGGGGTTTGTACACATGTGAGCATGCATGTCTGTGGCCGGTGTGCATGTATGCATACACTGGGGGCAAGTGTGTCTGTAAGTTATGTGCACCTGTGGTGTGTGTGCACCTATGTGTGCATATCTGGTATGTGTCTGTGGTGTATACATGTGCAGGTCTGTGCAAGAGCAGGTGTGTGTGTGACTGCAGGTGTGTACATGTATGCCTGTCTAGGGTAGGGTATGAGGCGTGAGGGTGCAGTCCATCTGGTCCTTAGCTACCTGGGTCTGGTTTCTGCCAGCCGTCGGCCCCTGTCCTTCAGGGCTAAAGGGTGGGGGGACCCCCTAGGCTCTCGGCCCAGTAGAACCGCAGTGCCCTCAGCCACTCAGGCCGACTCTTTCTGCACGCCCCTCAGACTCCTCCGGGGTCTCCCAAACACCCTGAAAAACAGGCATGAAAGTGGACCCCACCCTGACGTCCCCCTCTCTACTGGAGCTGAGAAGAAATAAGTCAGGAGTACAGAGTTGGTTGGGGGTGGGGGGTCCCTTGGGGGGGTCCCAGTGCCACATTACTCCTTAAGGAGTAACTTTTCTGACTCGTTAAAACTAAAGAGCCAAACCGTCTGTCAGGACTAACAAGCCCTTCCCAAGCTGCCCTGCTTCCGTAGCCTCACGCCGCTGCCCCTGCCCCCCGCCCACCCACCCCCACCCCCAATCCCAATCCGGGCCTTTGTCAGCCTGGAAGGTCTTCTCTGTACCAGCCCAGGGCCCTCCATTCCCTCCTCCCCACCCCCCCATCAGCCCTGGCTCTCTGGCAGGCACCAGGCACGTGTGTTTACTTGTCACGGGTGTCTCCGCACGGGCGTGGGGGCCCCGGGAGGGGCGGGGTGGGGTGGGTCTCCAGCACCTGGGACAGCGCCTGGCACAGAGTCCTCGCTGTCCCAGCCGTCGTCGTCAGTCGCCGTCGCGTCAACCTTGTGTGCAACAGAAAGAGACGGTGCCCAGTCCTGTGCCGCCCTCGCCATCACTGGAGTGAGGGAGGCCCTGGTGGCGGCCGTGTGTCACCCCCACCCCTCCATGAAGGACATTTCTTGGTTTCGCTGGCCCTCCTCTCTGCCACGCACGTGTGGCTCCTTGAAGACCCTCCATCCCAGTGACTGAGTCTGTGAGAGGGCGGTTCACACGAGTGAAGCCTCCCCACTGCAATTCCCATTTCACAGACGGGGAAACTAAGGCCCAGGGAGGGGAAAGGCCTGGCCCCAACAGCTCAACGCTGGAGCGAGGCAGTGCCAGGGCTGAGACCCAGGCTCCGACACAGGCCCCAAACAAAGCTCTCTTTACCATACCCTGTTCCAGAACAGTCCACAGGCTTCTCCCGAATGCCCCACCAAGAAGCTGGGCGCTCGGAGAAGCCTGCGAGTCCATGAGGCGCTGGTTTTTAAGGGGAAAAACAGGATATGATGCTGTTCCATCGGAACTGGGGCCAGGAAGCAGGGGAGCGGAGACAGAGCCACGAGAACTCTGCAGCCACGGCAGGCGCTCGGTGCCTCCCGCGGGAAAGCACGGGGCGGGCTCAGGCCTCCTGGGCTCCGCCCCAGCCACCAGGTTCCTGGGCCGGTTCCTGAGGGGAGCCAGACTTCGGGGAGCTGGTGCCCTCCTTCAGCCAGAGGCAGGCTAGGCCCATTGCCCTGCTGAGTGCCCCACCCCCTCCCCAGGGTTCCTTGCGCAGAGACACATGGGATAGGCTCCTTACTTCTCCTCGTAGGCCAGGACCAGGCGCGGGTCTAAGATGTGCTCCTCTGGCTCCCACGTGCTGTACCTAGAGGAAGAGGGGAGGGGTCAGTGCCAGCCTGCTCCTGTCATAGATGCAATTAGTTACCCTACTCGGAGGAGCCCGCCCAGGCTAGGCCAGGGGCCTGCAGGGGGCGGGTGTGCTCAGTGACACCAGCACGCACCGGTCATAGGACTGTGAGCCTCATCACTAGGGACCCCAGGGGAGCCTGGAAGAAAATAGGCCCTACGAGGCCCAGGACGTCCTGCCTGCCAGACTCGAGAGAAGATGGCAGGGGGTCTGGGTCCCAGCAATGTCCCTTGCTAATTGGGTGACTTCAAGGCTCTGTGCTATGACGGTCCACAAGTACCAGGCTGCCATGCTGACTAAATGGGCTTGGTGTCAGGGAGCCTTAGCCACTACAGCTGCCCCACTCGTCCCCGCAGCACCCCCAGCATCGGCCTCAGCTTGTCTCTCAGCAGCCTGAAGCACAGCAAGTGGAGAAGTCCACCTGTTAGTGGACTCTCACCCGAGAGCAGGCCCCTGAATTCCCACGGGACAACAGCTCCGGAGCTCAGCCTGCTCTGGGTGCCCTGTCCTCACTCCCTGGCACTACCGCTCACGCTGTGCCTGTCTTCTGAGCAACTTGCTTCCTGGGCTTAAATGACTTTGTTTCAAAGCAAACCTCACATGACTTCTCAAAGTGAAAAAAAAACTCGTTGGAAATAGACGCTGGTTCCGAAAAAGTCTCACATTGAAGAGGCAAGTATTTTAGCCATGTTCTAGGAGGCTGGTCAGAGGCTGAGCCGGTGAGGCTCAGGGATGAGAAGGGGGATGAACAGGTTTCGGGGAGGTGTCGGGAGGCCGCCTGCCCCCATTAGCTGAAGGAAAGCTGGTGTGGCTCTTGGAGCACAGTCTAGACTCAGGTACAAGCTGCCCAGGGCAGCCTCCTTTCTGCCTCTCCTCAGTAGCATCCTAGCACACCTGTTTGGGACAGGCCCAGGGGGGCTGTGGACTCGGCGCTCAAGGACCAGGCAGCCCAGGGTGAGTCGGCGTGGTACCCACCGCCCCTGCACTGAGTGGCCTGCACCCACGCCGGTCACCGTGTCGTTTTCAGGAGCCTGGTCTTGTGTCATTTTTCCTGCTGCCCTACCTTTCCAAGCTGTCCCATCCCCTAAGCAACTAGAGGTGGCCAGAGACGACAGGGTGCCCTCCCCCCAAATGCTGGGGCGTCTCAACCATAACTAATGGCATAGGAGGGTGTTGTCATCCCTTATGTCGCCCTGTTTGATCTTTGGCCCTCAATCTCCTCCCCTTAAGAATGGCCTCCACCCACACCCTAACAGCAAGGGGCACCCCGTTCTTCCCAACACCGTTGTGAAGTAGGTTCTATGACTATCCCCATGTTACAGACAAAGACGCTGAGGCACAGGACCAGAAGAAGCCAATGGTCTTGTTAACAGAAACCCAATTTGACTCCCCCTCCCCGTCCCTCAGGGGGGGGTCCCCCGTGGGTCTGATCTCCTGGTACACCGCCAGGTGCGCAAAAAGAGCAGCCTCTGGAGCTCTGTGCTCAACACTGGGGTTGGCGGGCACAAGGGGTTCAGCCCCCTCGACCCCGCTCCCCTTCACCGCAAGTAAAGAGTACAGTGGGGGGCAAGGCATGGGAAGCCTGGAGGCCACAGTGTGCGGGGAGGGGGACAAAAGGGCGGGGGGCGCCCCCCCACTTTGCCATCAACCAGGGCAGAACACAACAGGGGTCTGCGGGTCTTCAAGCTGGGGAAGGTGGGGTGCCGGGTTTTTGTGTCATTATCCCAACATGGGACTTCCTTAGGCCAAGCCGGGTCTGAAGAATACGGGGACTTTCCCCATGGGGCAGAACAGACCCTCAACTCCCCCCACCTCGTCCAGCTCTGCGCCGTGCGCGCCTGCGCTCACGCGCACGTAAGCACGCGCGCGCACAAGCCCCGGGTGGTGTGCGCCAGCCCCAGCAAGCCAATGGGGGGCGGGGGCGGGGACCGCGCAGCCCGAGA